CTACAGGCAACTATAGTTGTGTTATATTGCAGGCAACTATAGTTATGTTACACTACAGGCAACCAAAGTTATGTTACACTGCAGGCAACTATAGTTATGTTACACTGCAGGCAACTATAGTTATGTTACACTGCAGGCAACTATAGTTATGTTACACTTCAGGCAACTATCGTTATGTTACACTACAGGCAACTATAGTTATGTTATATCCGGGCAACTATAGTTATGTTACACTGCAGGCAACTAAAGTTATGTTACACTGCAGGCAACTATAGGTATGTTACACTGCAGGCAAATAGGTATGTTATATTGCAGGCAACTATAGTTATGTTACACTGCAGGCAACTATAGTTATGTTACACTGCAGGCAACTATAGTTATGTTACACTGCAGGCAACTATAGTTATGTTACACTGCAGGCAACTATAGTTATGTTACACTGCAGGCAAATAGTTATGTTATATTGCAGGCAACTATAGTTATGTTACATTGCAGGCAACTTTATTTATGTTATTCTGCAGGCAAATAATGTGTTATTTGCAGGCAACTATAGTTATGTACACTGCAGGCAACTATAGTTGTTACACTACAGGCAACTATAGTTATGTTACACTGCAGGCAACTATAGTTATGTTACACTGCAAAATAGTTATGTTATATTGCAGGCAACTATAGTTAGTTACACTGCAGGCAACTATTATGTTAAACTGCAGGCAACTACAGTTATGTTACACTGCAGGCAACTATAGTTATGTTACCGCAGGCAACTATAGTTATGTTACACTGCAGGCAAATAGTTAGTTATTGCAGGCAACTACAGTTATGCTACAGGCAACTATAGTTATGTTACACTGCAGGCAACTATAGTTATGTTACACTGCAGGCAACAGTTATGTTATATTGCAGGCAACTATATATGTTACACTGCAGGCAACTATAGTTATGTTAAACTGCAGGCAACTACAGTTATGTTACACTGCAGGCAACTATAGTTATGTTACACTGCAGGCAACTATAGTTATGTTACACTGCAGGCAACTATAGTTATGTTACACTGCAGGCAACTATCGTTATGTTAAACTGCAACTACAGTTATGTTACACTGCAGGCAACTATAGTTATGTTACACTGCAGGCAACTATAGTTATGTTACACTGCAGGCAACTATAGTTATGTTACACTGCAGGCAACTATAGTTATGTTACACTGCAGGCAACTATAGTTATGTTACACTGCAACTACAAATATTGATTCACTTTCTCAAAATGAGGACGAGCAGAAAATAATGGTGCTACTGTAGCGACAATATACAAGAGGAGAAAAGTAAAAGTAAGATATTTAGGTTAGGTTAGGTTAGGTTGGGTTGGGTGATTAGGTTGGGTTAGGTTAGGTTAGGTTAGGCTAGATTAGGTTGGGTTAGGTTAGGTTAGGCTAGATTAGGTTGGGTTGGGTTAGATTAGGTTGGGTTGGGTTAGGCTAGATTAGGTTGGGTTGGTAGATTAGGGGGTTAGGTAGTTGGGTTAGATTGAGTTGTAGATTAGGTTGTGTAGGTTAGATTAGGGGTTGGTAGATTAGGTTGGGTTGGGGGTTAGTTAGATTAGGTTGGGTGGTAAGGTTGGGTTAGATCAGGTTGTGGGCTTAGGTTGGGTAAGGTTAGATTGTGGGTTGTAGATTGTGGGTTGGAGATTAGGTTGGGTTAGGTAGTTAGGTTGGGTTAGGTTAGGTTGGTTAGGTAAGGTTGTAGGAGTAGGTTGGGTTGTAGCTTAGGTTGGTTTGGGTTAGATTAGGTTAGACAAAAGATATCTTTGTAGACTGCCGCTATAGTAGCAACAATATAACATCTCATTTAAGTAAGAGTATAACCTTCAAAAGAGTCTTGATGTAACTTGTTGACTTATGTGATGTATTCTGTATGAGGGAAGTACCTGGAGAATAGTATAAAGTACCTGTAGAGTAATATTTGGGGAGTACCTGGAGAGTAATATTATGAGGGAAGTACCTGAGAGTAATATTATGAGGGAAGTACCTTAGATTAATATAGGAAGTACCTGTAGAGTAATATATGAGGGAAGTACCTATAGAGTAATATTATGAGGGAAGCACCTGGGGAGTAATATGAGGAAGCACCTGGAGAGTAATATGAGGAAGTACCTGGAGAGTAATATGAGGGAAGTACTCAGAGTAATTGGGGAGTACCTGGAGTGTAATATTTTGAGGGAGTACCTTGAGAGTAATATGAGGGAAGTTCCTGAAAGTAATATGAGGAAAGTACCTGCAGAGTAATATTAGGGGCCTGTAAAGTAATATTAAGGAGTACCTAGAGATTAATATGAGGGAAGTACCTGGAGAGTAATATGAGGAAGTACCTTAAGAGTAATATTAGGGGAGTACCTGGAGTGTAATATTTTGAGGGAAGTGCCTGAGAATATTATGAGGAAGCACCTGGAAATATTATGAGGGAAGTACCTGAGAGTAATATTATGAGGGAAGTACCTGAGAGTAATATTATGGGAAGTACCTGTAGAGTATTATTGGGGAAGTACCTGGAGAGTAATATGAGGGAAGTACCTGGAGAGTAATATTATGAGGAAGTACCTGAGAGTAATATTATGAGGAACTACCTGGAGAGTAATATTATGAGGGAAGTACCTGAGAGTATTAAAGTACCTGAGAGTAATATGAAGGAAGCACCTGAGTAATATGAGGGAAGTACTGAGAGGAATATTATGAGGGAAGTACCTGGAGAGTAATATTATGAGGGAAGTACTGAGAGTAATATTATGAGGAAGTACCTGGAGAGTAATATTATGAGGGAAGTACCTGAGAGTAATATTATGAGGGAAGTACCTGTAGAGTATTATTGGGGAAGTACCTGGAGAGTAATATGAGGAAGTACCTGGAGAGTAATATTATGAGGGAAGTACCTGGAGAGTAATATTATGAGGGAACTACCTGGAGAGTAATATTAGAAGTACCTGGAGAGTAATATGAGGGAAGTACCGTGAGAGTAATATGAGGGAAGTACCTTAAGAGTAATATTAGGGGAGTACCTGAGGTAATATTATGAGGGAAGTACCTGAGAGTAATATGAGGGAAGTTCCTGGAGAGTATATTATGAGGAAGTACCTTGGAGAGTAATATTAGGGGTACCGAGAGTAATATTATGAGGGAAGTACCTAGAGTAATATTATGAGGGAAGTACCTGTAGAGTAATATTATGAGGGACAATTCGTAGAGTAATAATTATGAGGAAATACCTGTAGAGTAATATGGAGGGAAGTACCTGTAGAGTAATATGGAGGGAAGTACCTTGTAGAGTAATATGAGGAAGTACCTGTAGAGTAATATTATGGAGGGAAGTACCTAGAGTAATATTATGAGGAAGTGCCTGTAGAGTAATATTATGAGGGAAGTACCTGTAGAGTAATATGAGGGAAGTACCTGTAGAGTATAATATGAGGGAAGTACCTGTAGAGTAATATGAGGGAAGTACCTAGAGTAATATGAGGGAAGTACCTGTAGAGTAATATGAGGGGTACCCAGTAGAGTAATATGAGGGAAGTACCTGTAGAGTAATATATGAGGGAAGTACCTGTAGAGTAATATGAGGGAAGTACCTGAGAGTAATATGAGGGGAAGTACCTGTAGAGTAATATTATGAGGGGAAGTACCTGTAGAGTAATATTATGAGGGAAGTACCCAGAGTAATATTATGAGGGAAGTACCTGTAGAGTAATATGAGGGAAGTGCCTGTAGAGTAATATTAAGGGAAGTACCTGAGAGTAATATTATGAGGGAAGTACCTGTAGAGTAATATTATGAGGGAAGTACCTAGAGTAATATTATGAGGGAAGTCATTGTAGAGTAATATGAGGGAAGTGCCTGTAGAGTAATATTATGAGGGAAGTACCTGTAGAGTAATATGAGGGAAGTACCTGTAGAGTAATATGAGGAAGTACCTAGAGTAATATGAGGGAAGTACCTGTAGAGGTAATATTATGAGGGAAGTACCTGTAGAGTATTATGAGGGAAGTACCTGAGAGTAATATGAGGGAAGTACCTGTAGAGTAATATTATGAGGGAAGTACCTGTAGAGTAATATGAGGGAAGTACCTGTAGAGTAATATGAGGGGTACCTGTAGAGTAATATTATGAGGAAGTACCTGTAGAGTAATATTATGGAGGAAAGTACCTGTAGAGTAATATGAGGGGAAGTACCTGTAGAGTAATATGAGGGAAGTACCTGTAGAGTAATATTAGGTGTACCTGGAAAGTAATATTATGAGGAGTACTTTTTACACGGGATTAGCCCACCCGGGCACAGGTCATTATTGACCCACATCGGGGACTGAGGGTGAAAATGTAATAATAATAATAATTCAAAGTAAAAAAATTTTATATTAAACTTCACAAACTAATACAATGACAAGTAAGGAGGAAGATGATATATTATGACCAGGTCAAGGAAATATGTAAATGTTAGTTTCGGTCATCCCGTATTTACTAACCAACCTAACCTAACATAACCTAACCTACAGAACTCAACTATATTTAACCTAACCCGGGGTGTTCTCAGGCCTACTGATTCCAATAGTTAAATTCCTAAGACGACCGAGACTAAATTAATACCGGAAATGAAGTTTGCCCGCCTGAAATCCGAAAACAACCTGTAATTATAAATGAAGTTAGTTTATTTCAATATTCTCTGCGTATGTACATAACTTCAACTTTTAAATAAACTATATATCTTCCCATTGTGGAAATACTATACTGTACCTGTAAACAAAACACTATTGATCATTACAATGTATTAAAGAGTGGTTACGTTTCTAGATCTACAAATATGAGAAGAAATAATAACAAACTTCAAATAACACACAAGTAAAAACTACATTATTAATAAAATAATTTATTAAGTTTCAATCACGTTATTTATATTATTTAGTTATTTGTTTTTGCAGAGGAGAAGCCTGGGTGACACCTTACTCGCGCCTCTCTCACCGACCTCGGTCCTCGGGGCTCGGTCTGCCAGTGCTGAGAGAGAGAAGAGGTCGGTGCAGGTATTCGCCTCTCGCCTTTACTCTCTCTCACACACTTCTACACCTCTACACTCTCCATATATACATAAAGTAAGTGTTAGTTATCCCTGGTTGATTATCTGTAATATAATACGTCTTAGTGAACATTTTTTGTGACTATCAGCGTCTTATAGCTGAGTGGCTGGGTTATCCTTGACACTGTTTTGTAATTTAGTGATCTTTGTTTGATTAGTGGCTCTTATACCTCTTGATAAGTTAAATATTCCGTAGAGTGATAAGTATAGCGGTGAGTGTTAGTAAACCGGTCATTACGAGGTGTTTATTATGCAGTTCTTGAGAGCAGTTCAAACACGTGTGTATATCGTCTGCACCCTCACAAGGTCATCAGACTTACTAACTCGTTGTCTTAACTTAATTGTTTCTTCTCGGTTATAAGTGAATCATAAGACTGTGCCAACAAGTTCATTATACCCTGTCAAGTAATTTAACTTAGCCTGGGACATTTCCAGGTTGGTGCAATAATTTCCGATTGAAAGTGTGACGTCATTGAACACAGACGTCATACTCCACTGCGTCATGTGCTCTGACGTCATGTACTCTGACGTCATACACCACCTACGTATTTACTGTGACGTCATTGCAACCCGGATCTGAAAGAGACTTTAATAATAATAATAATAGTATTTATATTTATTCAGTAAAGTTGTCATACTGTACAGGTTTACAATTGGAAAAGCATGTTTATAAATAACAGATCCTTTTCTGCAAATGCCTGGATGAACACAAGGTCCGATGACTGGAGAATGGCTTACGAGTCCTTCAAGAGCGGCGGGTCACTCACCAATAATATATAAGAGACCAGTGAACCTGACCAGCATAGTGCGTAAATTACTTATATAGAGAGAATGAAAAAAATAGCGTTTCCGTCGGAAATTTATATTTAGAGTACATAAACCGCACATAACCTTTCCTTTCTAACTTGTTAAAAGGCTGTTGTTCTCTATGCTCGTCCACCAACATGACCATTGACAGGAGCGACTGAGACGGACGGACCTCATAATGGAAGCCTTGTATCAATACAAAGTAAAGCCATCCATTTGTGATATGGCTTCCTCTGAATTATTGTGTTTTTCCCAATAGGGATCTTCTTAATTAAGTAATACCTCCTGTATGTTTTAGTTTTGTACGTGGGTCTCCCGTCATGTTTATTAGTTTAAAAGTTTTGCGAAGATAAATTTTAAATAATGTTCGTTATTAGTATATTACTTGTAATTTTAAAACTATTTGCCTGCTTTCTTAGCCTGATTATTGAAAATTATTTTCCAACCTTAGTATTATATATATATATATATATATATATATATATATATATATATATATATATATATATATATATATATATATATATATATGTGTGTGTGTGTGTGTGTGGCGTCAACAAAATCTTAAGGGCCTACTTATCTGCACAGGTGTTAGTCAATAAACTTAAGGACACAGAGCCACCAGTGTGACGAGGGAAGAGTAGCGGATGTTATGGTATAACTTCTACCATAACATCCGCTTGTACCCCATAACATCCGTATAAGGCTAAGTACAGCAATTAACTTTATAGACCCAAATTGTTCCGATTTTCAGGTTACGTTTCGTATGTTTTTCTTTTAAACTGTAAGCGAAGTGACAGCAGTACAGTACACTATATAGTAGTGTTTCTTATAAACAGTCAGATAAACTAGCGTAATTTCTGAAAATAACAAGACTAACTTCAAAAGGTGAAGTAATTCATAATCTACGAATTCTAATACCAAGTTGATGATGTTTGCACGTCTATATATACTGTACTCGCGTGTTTCCTAAATAATGGCCTTAATAACTCAGTTGTTAGTGATTTAACTCAGGGAGTGAATTAACACATATTACTGTATACTATCACGAATATGTCCACACCCGCTTACAGTATTCGCAAACGTGGTAATGAAGTTCACCCAAACAATTTGAATTATAAACACATTGCTTCATTTAGCGACACACTAAGGTACAGAGGTAAACACATACATTCATTAAGTTACACACATTGAGGTAAACACACACACACAAACACACACTAAGGTACACCGGAACACATATATTAAGGTACACACACACGAGCTATGCAGGTAAATACACACACACTAAGGTAAACAGGTACGGTATACATACATATATACAGGTAAACACACAGGTACATAGGCAGACATACACACACACACACACACACATGCACACATAGGTAAACACACACACGTACTGTACACACACTGAGGTACACAGGAAAACATGCACATTAAGGAACACACAAGGTATACAGGTAAACATACACACACTAAGGTACACAGGTAAACACACATTAGGGTAGTAGGAAGTAGCAGGTAGTAGGAAGTAGGCAGCTACCAACCAGGAGGTACTACCGCCTGGGAAGATATTGAAGCATAATGTATTGTCTAATGGTAGACCCTGCTGCCATATGACCAAGTCCCAGGTTGATGATCTGTCTGCCTCATTTACAATTGCAGGGTCTCAATTGTTTCTTACAGTTGACAACACAACATACAGTACATACTGATTTATAGCGTTTCTCACTATTGATTTTTTATTATCATTATTACAGTGTTGTTATTGTTATTATTATTTTATTTTACCTTTTATTTTAAGTTTTATTTACTATGAATTACTGTATTATTATTATTATTATTATTATTATTATTATTATTTATTATTATTATTATTATTATTATTATTATTATTATTATTATTATTATTATTATTAAATTTTCGCCCCCAGGCCCGATGTGGGTCAGTGACCTGTGTCCGTGGCTAATTTCAAAAAAAAAAAAAAAATATGGCATCACGAAATTTCACACAATTGCAGGGTCCAATTGTTTAACATTGACAACAATAAACATACATATATATTTTCACTCTTTATCTTTTTTCTTTTTTTCTTTATGGTTATTTATTATGATAATTACATATATTATTATATATTTTTTTTACTTATTTGAATTTATTATTATTATTATTATTATTATTATTATTATTAATATTATTATTATTATTATTATTACATATTATTATTACTGTATTATTATTATTATTATATTTTCACCTCCAGGCCTCGACATGTGGTCAGGCCTGGGTGGGCTAATACCCGTAGTAAAAAAAAAATACAAAAATAAATAAATAAATAAATAAATTAAGTACACATACACTGAGGTACACAAAACATACACATATTAAGGTACACATTAAGGTACACACACACACACACACACAAGGTACAAACACACACTCTTTATTTTAATGGTAATAATCTATATATTTTGCTATTTCCTCAGTGTATTGTTTAAAAAATGCTGTATGCTCTTTTACACCCATACCAAATATAGAGAAAGACTTGAGACATACCAGTAGTAACATTAGCTACAGTTATCACATAACACTTGTTGAAAATACAGGGTATGTTAATGGTTTTTCCATGCTAAATCTTAATGCCCTCCTCAAAATGATACCAATACCACTTGGGTCTTTAGTTTGGTGGTTTCCAGGGTGGGGTTGAGGAAGGTGTGTATGTATTCTTTATTTTTATTATCTGAGAAACATTGATTTGATTTTTCTGTAACTGGAATCTGAATAGCAATTACGGTATTTGTTTTTTTATCAGGTTTCCAGGAATCTCCATGGGCAGAAGAAGACAAGAATTATGATAAGTCTTAAAAGAGATATTCACTGGTTAAGGAGACGAAATAATCCTCCTGCAATGAACTACAAGAGTATATTACTATATACCAGTACAGTACAATGCCTCTCTGACAAGTAAAACAAAGAAATCCACATAAACACTTAATCAAAGGAGCTTTATACTGGGCATTGTTCCATACAATAGAGTACAGTACAGTGAGTCATTCACTAGAAACACATCAGTATTAAGTTATTCCACAAAACACTTTCCCCAAGTTAACTAAAGGTACCATCATGGCATCACAAGTCTTACTAGTAGCCATACTAGTACTAATGTGTTGTAGTATTCATGTTACATCCCTAGTGAATGCAGATGACCACCTTCTCACACCTGCTGCTGCCTCTCTCAAACCTGCTACTGCTGCCTCCTCACACCTGTTGCTACTGCCTCCTCACACCTGCTGCTGCTGCTGCTCACACCTGCTACTGCTGCCTCTTCTCACCTGTTGCTACTCTCTCCCTCTGCTGTGTCCTCTCACACCTGCTACTGCTGCCTCTCACACCTGCTACTGCTGCCTTGCTCACACCTGCTGCTACTGTGTCTCTCACACCTGCTGCTGCCTCTTTCACAAGTATTGGGAGGATAATATGAGGAGGACTGAAGAGAAACACTTACACACTGAAGGACATATTGGGAGAAAGTTCATGGGGAGACAAGAGGGAGAAGGCAGCAAACAAGAAACAGAACACAGTAAACAAGAAACAGAACACAGTAAACAAGAAACAGAACACAGTAAACAAGAAACAGAACACAGTAAACAAGAGGTGATAAACATTAAGAAACAGAAGATAAAGAATAAAGCAGTTAGTGGAAAGAAATGGCAAGAGGATAATGGTGTGAAGAAAGTCATAGAAAATCACGTAATAGAGGACACATCATCAGCATCTGGGGGAGAAGATGTGCTAATGGATGCACAGACATCAGGTAGCCCACCAGACTGTAGTTTACCTTATTCTTTGTTGGAAATAATTGGAACTTTATCACAAGATGTTACAATTGAAGGAAGATTTTTTTTTTTTTATAATGGAAAATCTTGATTTGTAATTAACTTTCTAGGATGGTTTTTGAAGCCGGGAGCATTAATGTGACGGCGTTCCCATCCAGAACCGTCCCCGATCTCTACCTCAACCTACAGTGCGTTTATACTTAATTTATTTAATTTTATATATTTTCCAGCAAGTTAAAAGTTTCTTATTTCATAGATATTCAGTACAGTACTACATTTATTCAGCTGGGTGTTATCCTCATGAAACCATTAGGATCTATCCCTTTAAAGAATGTAAGTTTTATTTAAGTGGTTCTTTAGTTTAGGATATTTGGGTAGAATATATTTGCTGTTACAGATAAATAACATCATTTATACTGTTGTGAGGCTGATTTCATCACCTCAGATGTTGTCATTGTTCTATTAATGGTGATGATGATATATAATGATGTTACTAATGACAAAATAAATCCTAGACTCCTGAAGGGGCCACATTAATACTGGAGTTCGGACTGAAGACATCGTCTCATACTAGATCTCCGCCCAAACAGGTAAGAAACAGATCCATCTTACCACTGTTTATATACCTGCACTGTCTATCTGTACATTGTATACCTGCACTGTCTAGGTACACTGTACCTGCACTGTCTAGGTACACTGTATACCTACACTGTCTAGGTACACACTGTATACCTACAGTATACCTACACTGTCTAGGTACACATACCTTCTACACACCTGTCTTAGTAAACTGTATACCTGTGTCTAGTACTGTATACAGTGTCTAGGTACACTATACCTACAGTGTCTAGGTATATACCTACAGTGTCTGGTACACTATACCACAGTGTCTAGGTACAGTGTTTGGGCCATAACTCAAATGTTGTGTATTAGTGATGATGAAGTTTAATGAGCTGTTCTCCTCCACCAGGGAACTACTGGCTGCCTCATCAGAGATCCAGTTGTCGGGACTGCAAGGGTTGAGTTCGGTGTGAGTTTACTCCAAGAATAAGTATTGATCCAGTGTTTACAAGTGTGTGATTATAGATGCATGGCACACACACACACACACACACACACACACACACACACACACACACACACACACACACACACACACACACACACACACACACACCTCTCTCTCTCTCTCTACCTTCTTTTATATGTTTATATTTAGCTATAAATATAAATTTTATGTTTTTACAATTAATATTTTAGTCGAGAAAACAATGACAATAGTGTAAAATAGAAGGACTTTATAGATACTAATCTTACAAAAAAGATTTTGCTTAACAACAGTATGGCAAGGTGCAACTTTACACAAATCTCTGGCTCCAGCTTGAGTATAAACAAGCAGTCAGGTGTTAAATACAGCAGTAACATTTAAAGACAACTGGGCTGCCAGAGCCTCAGTCATGACTGTATGGTTGATGGTAGTTCGCAGATTCTGACCAGGATAATGCTGAGGCATTGAACAGCTTCTTTTCCCGGTTGTTCAAGAGAGGATGCAACAAACCTTATTGCATTTGAGGACAGACTGTTCGACACAGCACTGACCCACATTGTGTTCTAGAAGAGGGTATTAGAAATAAACTGTCCAGGCTAAAGGTCCATAGAGTCCGGACCTGACATGGTGCATCCTAGAGTGCTAAGAGAGTTGTGCAAACTTGCAGCTCCCCTGAAGATCCTGTTTGTAAATGCCTGGATGAACAAATGGTTCCCAGTGAATGGAAAGTGGCTTATGTGAGTCCTATCTTCAAGAAGGGCGTTGTCCTCCACAACAACTATAGACGGTGAGCCTGACCAGCATAATATGAAAGTACTGAGTATTATCAGAATGCCACAATGGAACATCTAACAACTTGTAAGATTAACAGTTGTATGCGGGCGCCTGCTTACAATTACTAAGGTATTGGATATTTGACCCATATTCTGGACGGGTAATGACAATATTTACTAGATTTTGCCAAGGCTTTAGTGTACTCACGGCTGAAATCAAACTGGAAGGGCGAATTGGGAAATGTCCAGGTGGATGGAAGATTTCTACAGACGCAAGCAGTGTGTGGTGATTAATGGCACGAAATCGTCATCTGTACCTGTCACAAGGGTACCACAGGGCAGTGTTTGGCCCGCTGTTGTTTGTTTCATAAATGACATGCCTGACGTTGTACCTCCTCCATACAAATGTTTGCCGATGACGCCAAGTTATTTCGGAAATTAAGAACCAAGCGGACTGTGAACTGCAGAAGGACCTCTATGGGCTCCAGGAATGGTCGAAGAAATGGCTGCTGAGATTCAAAGTTCTGAAGTGTAAGAGGATGCACCTGGGGCGTACCAGCGGTAAGAGGCGTATCATATGCCCAGCAGGATGAAGAAACTGCACTAGTTGAGACTGTGTGTGAGAAGGACCTAGGTGTGTATGTTGACAATTAGCTGAAGTTTTCGGCCATTGAGAAGAATAAATCAGGCAAATAAATTTGGGTCTTATAGGAAGGTCGTTCTGATCTACACGGTCCGTCCCTCATGCTTCCCCATCTGGTGTGTTGTCACCCAACCTGGTCCCCGAGATATGCTAGGGACTGTCAGTTGGTTGAAGATGTTCAAGGCCACTTCGGCACCTTAGCTACCCTGAGAGATTGGAGCGCCTGAACTCTAAACATACTACAGACAGGCAAGTGGGGACCTAGTTGAGGTGTATAAGCATCTCGGGCACTACTCAGTTGAGTGTCCTTACTTGGAGCTGGCGGGCCTTCGGCCTGGGGTCACAGCTCAAGATTGAAGAAGCAAGTCCAGAAAACTGTGAGGGCAAACTTTTTGGGTGAGGGTTGTAAACTCTTGGAACAATCTACAAGAGAGAGTGTTGTGGCACCGAGTGTGAGCTCTTTCAAGACAAGACTTGACCAACACTGGAGCGGGTTCAGGTACATTCAGGGCCGTGCATGCCCAGTATTTGCCAACAGTGCTTGCGATGTGACCGATCATCCGGGCGGCTAACAAGCCGATCTTTGGTGAAGAAGATAATGAAAAGGGTATCAGAGACGTGACCGATCCTAGCGGCTAACAAGCGATCAGTGGCGAAGAGGATAACAGTAAAAGTGTAAAAAGCATTACCTGATGGTATGGGTGTTATCTGATAAATTTGAAGCAAGTTTTCTGGCAGGATGCCAGCCTCTCTTTACAGAGTGGGAACTGGGCATTATGCATAAGACTTGTAAGTGCTCTGGTAGCTGTTAAGGAAGGTCACTACTCCTGGGGTAATCAAACATTTCTAACACCGCCTGGAAAAACTTTCTACACTACCTGGGGACCTTCAGGTCACTGTAGCAACATGTGAATATAAGTGTTGATGTATCTTGCC